AGCTGTACAGAGCTCCGTCAGTCTTTGTGTTTTGCAGTCTAACGCCGTCTGGTCGAAATCTCCAACTTGCAAGTACCCGGCAGTGAGGTAGGAAGATGTAGAACCTCTTTCTCTCTTGATGTACCATAAGCTATGCCTCTCAACTCATTGTCATACTTCAATCCCTATAATGTCTGTGGCAGCAGATGCAGGTGGAACTCTTGTAGAGTGGCAGAAGAGGTGGAAAGGGAGGAACGAGGAGGAGGAAGTAAATTGCATTTTGCTGCTAACAGGTAGCATTCCTTTGCTTCTCCCATCAAGCTTTGTGGTGAACAGTCATGTGTCTCCTCGTGCAAGTGGTACCAAAATGACTGGTAGATTGACCATGCTTAATATGCTGCAAACCACTACAGTGCTGTCTGCCGCACGGGTAAAAAAAAAAAAAGACCCAAACCGCTGACACCTGCATCGTGGCCCTGGGGATTCCAGTGGTTTGCACCTGTGGAGCAGTGCCATCTAATGGAATAGGGCAGCTGCTCCCTCTACTCCTCTGCAAGCTGCCCCTGGATGACATTCTGCCTTGATGTTGTTGTGCCACATACTGTGAATCTTTATGTACAGGTACACAAAAGAAAGCATCCACTAAATCTAACACAGAAAACCAGGTGGCATCGAGGAATATCTTTCAGAAGTGTGTGGGGGTTTGTTACTAGGAGTATCTTCCATAATTATTTTACTATATGGTCTCTGTCAGTTTTTGTGTAATGTTGGTGATCTTACTTTATGACTGTGGTGGAAAAACCTTTTATATACCCATCTCCTTATATTGGAGCAGAATATTTTTTAAGGGGTATCTTGTACTAATGTGGGCTCCTAGGTTAATCTAAGTTTATTACATATTGCCCTGGTGGCTAACACTCCCACTACTCCTTTCATCATCTAGAGAATAACACAGCTACATTATATATTTCTTGGCATAAACATGAAAATTATGCAGTTTTGGATATTGCATTTAAAAAAAAAATCACTGAATATCATCTGGTGTACATGATGGGCCATTACCCTAGTAGGTCTCCCATCAATTCTTTGCACTCTGATTTGGGTAGACTTAAATCTCCTGCTATGTTGGGGTTCTTTGTTGGGAAGGAAAAACATCACTTGTGCTTATAGTCCAGACCCATAGAACAGTCCATATGAACTGGTATACAGGGTCTATAGGTCACAGCAAAGTGTAATTGTTATATATAGCACACTGGAAAGGTTTTTTGCACTCTGTCCTGCAGCACAAACTCAAGAATGCAATGGGGGTCTGCAACTGTCGCAAACATAGTGAAGAACAAGAAGGTGCATGGGCTTTTGTTGGTGATTTAAAAAAAAACATATATAAATTGAAAAATAAATGGTTCCATGTACAAGATTCCACAGGAAGTGCCCAGAGGTATGTCTTGTGTCTAGCCCTTCCATTGCCAGGCTTTGTGCTGGAAGAAACGGCACTCTCTTTCGAGGTACATTACAACTGAGGACCAGCTTCATGATGTTAGCAGGGGAGTCCTTGTTGCTCCTGGGGAGGAGGTAGCCTCTACTTCCAGGTCCTCCGTATCCAGGAAATGCATTTCAGGTGACCCATCTTTGCCAAGCCTGTCTGTCCTTTGCATATGTCTGCTCTTATATATCTGCTGTAATTTGCACAAAAGGTGGAGGATCTGGCATTTGTGTTAGTTGATAGTGATAACAGTTGTGTTTTAGCTATAGGAATTGGGTTGTATATAAAATTGGATCTTGCTATAGCAGCTAGTTTTATCTATAAGCTCTACATAAAACTAAAAAAAAAAAGTATTGAAAAAAAAACTACAAAACTGGATCTACTGCTTCAATGTTGACTAGGAGGTATAAATAGAAATAAGATATGAAAATACATTATCTTACAAAATATATGGGCGATGCATATACTTATATAGATATACACACACACACACACAATACATATATAATCTCCTATGAAAACTTTGTAAAGAAACTATTCCAGCAAGCCTATCCAGTACAGGAAAGGTTCCAAAAACTCTGTAACCAAGAGATGTATTGGATACATACTTTAAAGTACTTTGGCCACAACATATCTGAATGAAGAATTAAACATCAACACCATTGAGTAGCGTTGAAGCCCTTGATCCACTTTGATAATGCTTTCAGTATAAGTGTGTCTGAAATTGTAGCCAACGCTCTTTACAAAATAAGAGATTTTTGTCCCCATCTAGTGAGAATATTGGAGAAATACACGTAATAAATAAAATGCATCAAAAACACCAATGAGCACTCTATAAAACGTTATTCTTTTTTTTTTTAAATGAAGCTATCACAGCTGACCATTCCAGTAGTGTTTTTGATAAAAATGAATCTTTGACATTCAATATATTATTTGACAACTACTATCGGGACAACTTCTTAATAGGATTTAGATTAACATACCATACTTATATCTCCTAATCACATAAAAGCAGAAGAATCCAATTATTTTGGTAGTTGCTTTCTATATTACTTTTTATTTTGGGGTTTTAGGTAGAGTGCATAGCCTTTAGATAAAACTAGCTGTTCTATCAGGACTCAGTCTTAGGTACAGCCAATTCCCCATATATAAAACTAACTATTGTGCAGTTTTTAAGCGGAAAAAAAAAAACTTTTGTTGGCTGATGGTGATAATATATCACTGCCATACATGCAAATTACAGCAGAAATATAAGAACTGACATCTTCCAATGAGAAACAGGCATCAACCAGAAACTTGTTGCCTAGATCCAAAAGTAGACGCTGCCTTCTCCTTGAGGTTGCTGTTGAGTAATGAGGATGCCAGCATGAGGATGCTGGTCCTCAGTTGTCTAGTTGGTGCTGGTTCTTCCCATGCAAAGCCCAGCTGCTGACCACAGAAGGGATGAAAAGAAGACCCATGTCTGGGCCCCATTTAGTTGCCACTCCCGTGGCATCTTTAAGTGATTGATTATTAATAAATGGTCACCTTCGTGTTCTTCTCTTGCTTTGGTAGAATTGTATGCTTAAATTTGTGCTCTGGAAGAGAGTGTAAGAAGCCTTTTACTTGTGCTATATATAACCAGTACTACTAGGGTCTCTGTGCCCTTCTAGCCTTTTTTTTTTTTTTTAATTCCCTGTCTGATCTTTGAAATTACTTCTAAATCTGTCAATCTGCTTAATCTAACCTTAAATCTCAGAGTTAGAAAACCTTGGCACTTCAGCTGTGGCAAAACTATAAATCCCATGAGGCATTGCAAGATTGACAGCCATAGGCATGACAAACTTTTTAGTTTTACCACAGCTGGAGTGCCAAGGTTGCCTACCCATGCTTTAGCTGGTGTCAAAGTATTTGTTTTTCTAACCTTAATAAATAATGTGTTGCCATGCATGAAGCTATGGTTTTAGACAACTTATAAAAGTCTTACCAGGAGAGACCTTTTAGATCTCAGTCCTCAGATGCCTTTAGGATTGCTGGCTCATGATCCCTCCTTTCTAGGCTTCAGCACTTTGTGTTTTGGAAGACAAACCGACTAGACAAATTGAACAAAATATTTATTGATTATATCTGCACATAGTATACAGCATATGCATTTATGCCTCTCAAAATATACTCTAAAGAAAAAAATTACATTTATATACATTCCTTACAAAATCATAGCGGTAATAAGTTTATTTTACATTTTATTATAATCGGTTTAATGCCAAGAACAATTAGTGCAAATCACACAATTTCCTTACATAATTTGTAACAAGTTAACAATCCAGGAGAGAAACTGGCCACAGAATAGTTCCTTAGAAGCGTCTGTCGGCTAATTTCTACCCAAGGTGCAAATTCATTCATAGGACTTTTTTAAATTAAAAACAGCAATAATAATTGCAGAAACAGGAGACACTAAGGCTATTGCTGTCCTCACAGAACAACAAAATGGAATCCATACTTTTCATCCACACATCAAACAATCTGGGAGGAGGCGGGAGTAAAGCTGGGTATATCAATGATAAAAAGGATCCGGGTGTCATGGTAAAGCACAAGCTTAATAACAGCATTCAGTGCCAAGCTCCAGCTTATAGAGCAAGATAATTCCTTGTATAGATAGTGGTATTTGAATTTATTCCCCCCTAAGAAGAGGTGGCTGAGGGTGGATATGACTGGAGTGTATAAATACATAGATGTATTGTAAACTTGGAAGGTTGGTTACTTGAAGGTCATTGCAAACGGAAAGTGAGCACCCTTTGCACATGGAGGAAAAGAAGTTTGAAGTATATGTAAAGCCAGAACTTTCTTCAGTTATGGATAGTGTATTCGTTTGGCCACTGGGGAGATTTCTCTTCACTTCCTGTCCTGGAGACGCAACAGGAGATGAGAGAAATTCTCCCCAAGGTGGGGGGAAATTCCTGTCTAAGACCATTGTCAGTGGGACATTTACCTTTTTGGACTTCCAATCACTTTGTACCTTGGTGACAATGACCTCAACAGAAACAAACTTTAGCCTCTGCATATGGAAAGGGCTCTTTACAGTAAGAGCTATGAAATGCAGAACATTTTTTCTTTTCTTCAAAAGGGCTGCATTTGTTTCTTAATGTGCAGAATATAAAGGGCTAGTAATAATATAACACTGTAAAATGTTGATCCAGAAAGTATCAGATTGCCTTTGTGGAAAGGATTTTTCCCAGTCAGAGCACATTGCATTATGCTTTATAAGGGTTTTTGTCTTTCTCTGGGTCAAGTACAGGTTTAGAGTTTTGGGGATGCAAGGTTTTTTTTGGTGTCATTTAAATAAACTTGATGGGAATTGAAATTAAGTAACATATGCATGCACCTGATGATAAACAGCTTTTTTTTAACTCCAACGTATTCCTTCACCCTGTCAATAATGTGCAATAATAGTGCAAGGGAATCGGTCTATGTGTTACATAATTCAACACTTTATAGGCATTAAATCTGACCCACCTAACTATTCCAAAATTGCAGAATAAGGTTGCATGACCTGCTAAGGACTAGGACGGTGTGTACACAGCTTACTAATTAAGACATTTTCAAATGGCAGTGCACTGAAAAATCAGTTGCCTATCCAGTGTACATATAGCAGCAAGGTATTTTATAAATAGATTTGTCATATTTTTCACTACTGCACCACTGTGTACATTTTAGGCTATACCTCAGTTTACATCATGCTCCTCATATAAAACTCGATTATATTCCTTCAAAACGCAGATGCCCATCAATCATCCATTAAACCACAGTCAGAATCATTTGTTAGATGTCAGAGTCAATAGTTGTCGTCAGATCTCAGAGCTGCTGGGCGCTGCTCTGTGTCACAGGAGACCGAGCAGTGTGGGGGAGGAGAGAGCTGTGAGCGGTCGGCGTCTCTCCTCCCGCACCGTTCAGCCTGTTGTGAGACTAGGAGAGAGGCGGTGTGAGACAGCTGTCTCCGCCCCCACACCTCTCTCCTGCTCTGTCACAGGAGGCCGAGCTCTCCTTCCGCACCACCCCGCTCAGCCTCCTGTGACAGATCAGAGCGGTGTGGGGGCGGAGACAGCTGTCAAGGCAGCATAGAATGACAGGTGTCAGTCAATAGTCAGCGTCGGGTGTCTGGGTCAATAGTTACCGTCAGAGCCAACAGGTGTCAAGACG